AAAAAAAATCAATAAACCACTTTCTAAGTCTTTAATACTAACCAAATCTAGCGTTAAGGATATAAATCCAACAGCCATATCAGCATGGAAAAAAGATTTAAGTATTGATATCAATATGAAACAATGGAGTTCCTCAATGATAAATGTTAAGAAGCACATACATTCATTAAATTTGTTGGAAACACACTTCAAAGTCTTAAATAGGTGGTACTTGGTTCCGGCGAAATTAAATAAAATATACTCTTTAACTAATCCTATTTGCTGGAGATGTAAATGTGCTAGAAGTAATTTCAAACACATCTGGTGGGACTGTCATAAATTAAGAAATCTTTGGTTGATAATACAAAAATTCATATCCAAAAATCTAAAACTCGAGTTGAAAATTTCTCCAGAGGTTGTTTTGCTACATTTAAATTGGCCACCTATGGCGTATGAATTAAAAGTAATACTTATACACCTTTTTCTAGCTGTTAAAATAGTGGTTGCGAGATGGTGGAAAAAAGATTTAGAAGTCCCCTGGAAGAATGTAAAAAACCAACTCGAGTTTCAGATAAAAATGGAGTTGATGCTGAGTAAACAAAAATTAAGCAAAAAAGCATCTGTCTGGATGAAATGTCTTAAGTTGATCGATATGGAAATTATTTGTGATTAATTGAAGGTAATTTCCATACCTTGAACATTGAAAATATATAAGCTATACCTGAACCTTCCTCCACTCTACTTATAGTAATTCTGTTGTATATTTTGCTGCTACACTGTCTTGTGTTATATTGTAAATTTGTATAATATGTATATATTATCAAATACTTAATGTTAAATTGTATTTTAAAGAGGTCTATATATTCCTCTTTTTCTGCGAACAAGATCTGTAGGAAATGAATATTGATTACAGAATGTACAAATATTACAATTTGTTAAATGTTTAAAATAATTGAAAAGAAAGAAAAAATAAAGATGAAAAAAAAACAAAAAAACATTTCTTTGAGTTAAAGGGTATCCCAGTTATCCTCTCTGATGGTTCTAATTTATTGAGCAAAAGGTTCTAGGGACAGAATGAAGTGGTGAACAATGTAGGGGAAACCAAGGTATCTTTGATTCAAAGTCTGGGACAGTTCATAAATAAAACCTACTATTATAGATATGCTTAGATTACATACATATGAAATTTTAGCTCACAGACCATGACCTCTCTAATTTAATGAAAGAAAAAGTCTAAACATTTAATTAATATTACTATTAGGGACATTAATAGGAGACCGCGAAAAAATACAGAGAGGGAACAAAACCTTCTCATCTGCTTAACTCGAGCAATGTCAACAACTGTCCTGCAGTTATAGTTATAATTATATTTTTTTTTTTTAAGTTAGACTTCGATTTATGTTAGAATTAACCTACGTAAAGTGATTTGAGATTATCCAGGGCCACAACTTACACACTCATATCAGCACATAGACTTGGAACCGGCAGGATTGCCACAGAGTGGATATCTGACCTGTGGAGAAGGAGGCCTGTTATGTTGTGTAAATGCACAATGTCATTACTGTATATGCACAAGAATGTCGCACAGAATGTATGTAAAGAGGTAGCGAAGGTACCACATACCCCACCTGATGTCTCGGATACAATGTTAACATAACATATTGATGTTGTGAATTTTATTGTCGGACCTACTGGATATCTGTAACGCATGTTGAAAAATCCAATAAAAATGAGATACAATGAAAAAAAAATATATATATTATTATTAGATTTTATATATACAGGGGAAATATAACAGTAAGTAGTTGACAGACAAAATTAAGTTATTATGATTATTATTTATATAGCACAAATGTATTCCAAATGGCTTTATAATTATAAAATGGGAATATTTGACTAGACAAGACAATGAAGAAGTCCTGCTCAAATTAGCTTATAGTCTATGAGAAAGTGGGAAAGACACACAATAAGCTCACAGTAAGTGAGAGACCTGATGTAAATCAAGTGAGCTTAGGTTTTTGAACGCCTGGGATAAGCTAGGGTTCTATGTTGAGTAAGTGGCACATTGACAGTGCAGGTTACAGGATGGTGGTCAGATAGAGGGAAAGGTCTGTTAGAGAAATCAGAGACAGAGCAAAGATCAGAGGTATTTCCAGCGATGTGTGTATGGGAGTTAGTTCACTGAGTAAGGCCAAGGGAGAAGGTAATAGATGTTGCTGAGGTTTTATGTAGGTTAATAGGAATGTTGAAAGAAGTCACCAAGAATGAGGGAAGGTATGTCAGAGGAGAGAGAGTAAGGAAGCCAAGCAGAAGATTGGTAAAGTAGACAGAGCATACTGATCAAATGGGCTTACAATCTAAAATGTCTCTCTACTGCTAATGTATGGAAAGATATAATGTACATGTAAAATACTGTTGTGAGATACTTATGCAGGATGGTCACCAATAATAATGGCAATTTTAAATAATTCCATTGACATCTTTTTGACATCTTGTGAATCAATGTGTCTAGCGATCATTTTGATAACACATTTGTCAAATCTTTTCTAGCTAATTTTGATATAATGATATGCGCCAACAATCGATTATTACTTGTGGCATATTAGTAATTGACATCCGGTTAGTGAAATTGGAATTTGTATTTTTTTGAAGGTGTTATTTTTACTACAGTCAGAAGATGGCAGCATAGTTCGTAATCAGGATAAGATATAAATGAGGTTTGATACACTATAAACCAGTGTCTGGCCTTAAAATTAAACTGGGAGCTAAGTAAGGATAATGAAAAAGACGCACAATGTAAATAAGTACGAAAAGTTAATAGCACCACTACTAAAATTACAAATGTCCACAAAAATATCTATAAAGCAGTCCTTGAATCCAACAGATATATCTAATTAGTTGAACGACCCATAGAGTTAGCTGTAAAAATTATGGCTTATCGATTCGAGATTAAAAGCATTTACAATGGTCCACGGTAACGTATGTCCATCAGGACACAGTCCTTATTTAACTCTCGGTTATCCTTCAATTATTACAGTATGATGTAATCAGAGTGATGTAATATGTATTCAGGATAAAATGTCATGTAATGAGACGTTTGCAGAGCTGAAAGTGTTCTTAAACGCATCAAAAAACAGTCATTTATTCCTGCCGTAATTTTCTAACGTTAAGAATGTTAAGTTACATTTCTGAACCAGAAGGTGCTGTTACTCAGAAATTCAATGTAAATGCAGGCATTAATAATTAATAATCATTAGTAATATCATATTAGTTAATGACAGTCAGAGATCAACATTATTGTTAGTTATTAGTATTCAATAATGTACTTGTATAAAAGTGTATGAGGGACAGCCCCTCAGAAAAGCTATGCAGTGCTCCCTGGCATTCTGTGCCGTAAATAAACAATTTTCGGAGCCATACGGAATGGTGTTTGACTCTGTCACTTATACTGAGGTTCCTTTTAACAACTGTAAAACCAGAAACCGATTTATTTTAAGTAATGCAATGTCACATAGAACCCTATCATTTTTATCAATAATAGAAATGGTAGATAAAAAAAATATATAAATGATCTCTATTCAACCAGAAAGAGAGAGCTGGTAGTTTTCCAAGTGTTGGGTGCCATGACAGTCCTACAGAGTTTGGGGGAAAAGGGGTTTGTTAAGTCCTAACGCTAAAGGGATATTCTGTCCCCAGACACAAAGGATGACTTCTCACTTCCCAATAGTGCAAAGAACTCTCAACACCTTCTGTTCCTCTACGTCCAACTTGCAACTATTTGTTTGTTAGTCCATCCATTGTATCATTTTTAATAGTTGGAGTAACAGCTTCTTGATCCAAGGAGAGATCTGACTTGTATTCTGGGTTCAAGAAGGATTTTTTTCTCAAGTTGTTGCAAAATTAGGAAGTGCTTCAAACTTTTTTGGTTTTTATTTATTTTTTTAAACAGCAAAAACAGATGTGAGAAAGGCTGAACTTGTTGGATGCATGTCTTAGTAAAGACAAGATCTTAATAACAATTAAACAAGGTATTTCTCACAAGACAAAAAGAGCAACAAAAGCTTTTTATTAGTAAAACATTTTGCACACCCCGAACCAATAGAACTTTCTTGTTTATATATTTCTGTCTGTGCCCCCGTAGTGTTTGTCTATGTTATAGTAAATGATGCTGGAAAAACTAGTAAACGTTTTGGAGAAAAATTGACAGTTATGCTGTTTGGATCCCTGTTTGCCTGATAATGAAAAGGCTTCTTAATTCACAAGTTTGACAGAAATACAGAAAATATAAAGGAATATAGAAAGGGAAATATAGTTTAGAAAGTATTTTGAATGAACGTATGGTGGAATTTAATGAAATGTGCTATTCTATACAGGAAAAAACACAACCTTCTACACTGTTTTGTTTCAACAAACAACTTAATGGATTGTGTACAGGCATCTAACATGGTGCACATCTGACTAAATCCAACAGGTTGGGACAGGTAAATTCTAGCACTCCAGTGATAGAAAATCAGACTTCATTGATACTACATGACTTTCTTCCAGGCTACGTAACATTCAGGTACTCATTTGTTTTCCTTAATTTCATGGATGTAACCAATCTCAGTGCTTTCTCTCAGTTTGTCATGGCCCCAAGGTCGCTGCCGCACGTCGGAGGTCACATGGACATGAGTGCGCGTCCACGTAATTGTAAAAACTATAAATCCTAAAGCGAAGAGCTTTATATTGTGAGAATCACAAGACCCAGACCTACATTTTGATGCATAGTATGTCCAGTGGTGTATCCTGGTTTTGTGCTGCCCTAGGGAGGACAAAACTCAGGCTCTCCCCTCCCCCTGGGCCACCCCCACCCAACCCTTCCCCCCGCCCCACCTTCCAAATACACACACAGTCAGACACAAACACACACACACCGTCAGACACATACACAGACACAAACACACACACCGTCAGACACATACACAGACACAAACACACACACACACAGTCAGAAACATACACAGACACACACACAGTCAGATACATACACAGACACAAACACAGTCAGACACAAACACACACACACAGTCAGACACAAACACACACACACACACACACAGTCAGACACAAACACACACATACAGTCAGACATAAACACACACACACACACACACACACACACACACACAGTCAGACACAAACACACACACAGTCAGACACAAACACACACACACACACACACAGTCAGACACAAACACACACACACACACACACACACACACAGTCAGACACACACACACACACACACACACACAATCACTCACATTAACTTTTTATTTTTAACCCCATTACCTTTGGGAGTGCAGGGAGGGGGAGGTGTCTCTCTCCCTGGTGGTCCAGTGGCTGCCGGTCGGGCTGGGTGGCGCTGGCTGCTGGGTGGGCAGCTGGCGAGGGAGCACTTCCTCTGAGCGGTCTGCTCAGCTCCCTCGCGCGCCGCAGAGTGAGGCTGGGAGCCGGAAGATGACGTCATATTCCGGCTCCCAGCCTCACTCTGCGGTGCGCGAGGGAGCTGAGCAGAGTGCTCAGAGGAAGTGCTCCCTCACCAACGCCGCCCGCCCAGCAACCAGTGCCGCCAGCCCAGCCCAGCATGTCTGTTAGCCGCGAGGCTAACTAGGCATTTGCCCTGGGCATTTGGGGGGCGGCTTTTTTTGCCGCCCCCTGAAAAATGCCGCCCAAGGCGAATGCCTTGTTTGCCTCGCGGCTAAAACGCCCCGGAGTATGTCCCTGAAATATTAAAAATGAAGGCACAGTCGCAGTTTAGAAATTGCCCTTCAATTTTGAGCTGGCTAGAGTGGAGTTTCAATGAATGTCAATGGACGGAGTAAGTTGCAAACAAATGGTCATATTGTGAAAACTATCAGGACTATGGCTTAGCCGTGGACATGTTTAGTGGCAGCAGGGATAGCTGAACGTTTTGATATAAGATTTGTGTAGGTGGGCTTGAAAATGAGGGAGTGGTGGCAGTTTAGAAATCATGTCCTGATTTTTCAACTTTTGCCAGCTTAACCGCAGCTTAATTGACGAATGTTGGGTGGCCTTTGTTCGTTTGCCAAACACGTGGCAGCGGCCATTTTAAACTCCTGAACGGCCAGCGGTGCTGAGCTTCAAATCTATGGAACTCAAAACAGACACTTATTTGCACGAACACTGCTGAGCCACCAACCTCACTTCTCTTGCAAAGAAATGAACACCAGTTCATTCGGGACTTTCATTAGGTGAACAATGTTACCCCAGATAGCTATGCCATGGAGCCCATTCGTATACCGACAGACTTTGGCTCCATGGCGATTGGACTGTATGTATGTGATCTGAGTGCCATTCGGTAATAATGTGCGCTCAGATCTAAGCTATCTGGGGAAGTGTTGAATGTACCCGTTTTATGCAATAGTTGCACAGTTATATATTTTTGTGTAATTTTATGTCTTTTGCTAACATGTGGCTAATGGAGTTTTGCCTCTGTCCTTGGAGATAATTGGATTACTTCCCAATTATCTCCAGGACAGAGAGAAGGGATTGTAATGTACTGTGGGAGTGTTTTAGCCCTGTATGTCTGTGATTGGTCAGTTTACCATTTGTGTCCCAGTCTTCCACCTGGTCCCCTAGGGGAGTGTCCACCAGGTGGGAGACCTGCAAAAATGCCGGGCTGGTAGCCCCAGTAAACCATATTCTGCTTGACCCTCATCATGAAGTGTCATCGTGTTCTTGGGGGGAATTTGATTGTGTGCTGTTACAGTTCGACTGCCAGGAGTGTTAGCTGTTCATATGGTTTTTCCTGTTTGTGTGTTTCCTTTTTCGGGAATTGGAGTATTCATGTGTTTGCAGTTCGGGAGATTGGTGATTGCAGTAGCTGCTCATCTATCTGGAAGGGTAATATCGCCTAAACTTATTTTACCCCTTGTGTGCCTGGGGGATCCGTTACAGTATACTTCTGAACACATATCCTGGTTATATCCTCAGAATTCCATCAATTCATATTAGTGGTTTTACTCATTAATTATTGTGTATCTAAAGTAATTTTTTTTTGTTTGAGTTGGAGTACTCAGACATGTTTATTTTTTAAAACAACAACTTAGTTTATGGTTTTTATGATTATGTATTGCTTTTAGTTTTATAGTTAAGTAAGTTTAAAGTTAAAAACCATGCCTTAAGACAGAAAATAATCTGATAAGGACACTTTTAATGTCTGGCAAGTTAGATAATTTTTACCAAGGTTTTTCTTTGACCTTGAGTTAAACCAACCATCTAAATATTAAATCAAGTTAATAAGTTAATATATACAACTGTAAATCTCTGAATAAACTTTGTACATATACTATTTAACTAAAATGACTGTATAAGATAAAGATAAAGAAAAAAAATAAAGCTATTGATAAAAACACTAAAACAACTGAATTGGTTAATATGAGATAATACTCAATAAATATAAATTAAAAAAGAAAAGTATACTTTGCCTGGAACTCTGGTACCTCTCACCAAATGATACTAAAATGAAATTCTAATCTCAAATTGTGTTTTTTATATTTCTTGACAGTGAAAACAATAGGGTTTCTTAACGATCAAGGAACATTATGTTTTGAATATGTTTATTGGATTCACAACATATATTCCAATGCAAACGTGTTTGTGGTTAAGCGGGTAGGTGCCTGATCGGTACATGAGTAGGTATGCATGTCATTGCCTGAGCAGAGGCATATTATTCCGGTTGCTTGAATTATAACATTCAGTTTCACAGTTGGGTGCGCACGTTATGTAACTTTTGCTATGATGGTGGTCTGTCTTTGTGGTTGTGCTATGCTTTGTGTTTTTGAGTGTCTGTACCTGCGTGTTAATGCTGGTAGGTGCATTCTGCTTGTTGGTTTGACTGCTGGTGTATCTATTGAATTGGGCTGTTGGTGAAGCTCCGTCCCAGATGGAGTTCAAGGCTTTCAGGAGTTTTGGTAGGATGTCTTGCGTGAACGTCTTGTTGTATTGGAGGGGCAGACTGTCCGGTCCTAGTGCCCTGCCCGTTTTCGCTTTTTTTTGATGGCGTGCGTCAAGGAACATTATGGATCCAGACTGGCACAATAATTAACAAACAATGATTAATGTATATGAAGTATATGAAAGGGAGCACCGATGCACCAGTTTGAATTAGGCATGTTTGTGATTAATGAAGTTATGGTCTGAAGCCAGTTTACAGGTTTGTGATATTTACTCACAGGCTGGCTTTTGACCCTAATTGCCCAGTCTCCTCGGCCAATAAACTGGCAATCCCTCTTCTCTGGGTGGCTAGCAGGTTACAAGCCCATAGACACCTCCCAAAACAATGTATTTTACCTAAACTAGTCACACTAATAATATAGAAGGTGGAAAACAATCTAAATAACTCATTCTGTGTTCCTCAGTCTTTAGCTCTAAAAAAGGTCAAAATTAAAAAGAATCGAATGAAACTGTGTCAGGACAGTACAGTGGCCCAACATGCAGTATTAAGTAGTATCAAACATAGTAAATAAATAAACTAAGGAAAAATTTATTACCAGGCCTTAGAATGGCTGGAAATTAACGTAAGCAGTAACTAGCCAAGGTCCTGGTACAGACCGGAACAAACATGGAAAGTCAAAAGCCAAAGGGTCAGGAAGCCAGAAGTAGAATAATCAGGACAAGTCAATATCAAAACACAGAATATAAAATACAGGAACGCGCTCTGAGATAACCAAACAGTAATGGGAACCAAACAAGTAATTACTGTGTATAGTGCGCTTACAAATATTTAGAATGGAGGAAGCAGCTACACACTCTAGTGGGTTTCTCTTACTCCCACTATATACCGTAGTGAACAAAGTGAATCAGTAGGATGTGAGTATTGTACCCAAATCTATACTAATTTAATAAGTAAAGCGCTATACAAAACATAAAAGTGTACACTTACCCTACAATAGGGTATGAAGCTGGGATGTACATTCACTACATATAGGGAGAAACAAAATGAAACAATATAGTGTAATTCCAGAAAAGATGATAACACAAAACTTAATCTTAAGTGTTTCAACTGACATTGATAAGAGCCTCTAAGGGACAGGCTTTAAATCACATCAGCTGTAGTGTGGTTGGTGACACTGATCCCTTTTACCAGAGTAGGTTTCCTCAAAGGACGAGATAAAAAAAAAGGGAAACAACAGGGCAAAGAGGAGATACATAAATGAGTTTATGTAACCCATTCCTAACTGTCATTGGTGGACAGGGATCAGCTGATTCCAGAACGTGCATGCTCGCCGATTATGTGGACGCGCACTCACGTCCATGTGACCTCCGACGTGTGGCAGCGACCTTGGGGCCATGACAAACTGATTGAGAGAAAGCACTGAGATTGGTTATCTTGAAAGGCTACCAATAATAGGACTTTAATAAACTACAAGATGTGGTGCTTGGCACCAAGGGTGTTGCCACCAAGTACTAAGTCGAAGGGGTTAAATACTTATTTCACTCATTGACAGGCAAAATAATTTATAACTTTTTTGACATGCATTTTTCTGGACTTTTTTTGGATTATTCTGTTTCTCACTGTTAAAATACATTAAAATTATACACTGAGCATTTCTTTGTCAGTGGGCACGCGTTCAAAATCATCAGGGGATCAAATACTTTTTTCTCTCACTGTAAAATAAAGATAGTAAATATAATATTGTATGTACCAAAATCGCAGGAGCTGAGAAACAGCCACTATGATTAGATTCAGAATCCTGAAATATAATATAAATATCAAGTATAATTTCTGCAAAAAAATAAATAAATCTCATTTTGAAACACATGCAGAAAATATTTTACCACAAAAATCTAATAATATATAAAAGATATAAAGTCTGAGGTGACTGCCCCAGCAGAGCTACTGCATCTTATCAGAAGATTACTTGCTTCACTCATCACACCTAAACAGGAAAAGCTGGTCCAGTTAGAGGGAATATTGAGGGTCACAAAAGCTCCTACTACACCTACAACAGCTCAGAAGAACTTGATTACTAAGTTCTACCCAAATTTATCCCAAAAGCAGCTTTTTGAAGATGATCACTTTGCTCATTGACCCAGCTCTTGTGTGCCAGGGACATATAATACAAATGGGGTACAACAAGATTCCTAGTTGTGACTGACAAAGGTTCACCGGTTCATGTGCTCCATACAGGAGATTTCCGTCCCTTTGTACACAAGCTACGCCACCCATGAGA